TGTAGGAACAGAAGAACCAGAAATGGAAAAAAACCCACCGAATACCTACGTACTATAGACCCTGTCTCCCATGTGGAGGTGTTTCGTCTTCTTAGAACTACGAAAATCACGAATGTAATACTCTCAGATGGTCTGTCCTTGTCTGCGTTCACATATGGCGCTGGTTCACTTAAAGAGAAATTCTCAACCCAGCATGTTAAACCCGTGATTTCTCTAGACCTTTCATCTATCGTTCCCATTCCGAAATCCTCTTCATCCAATATTCTACCCAAACTCTTTCATCTCATTACCACCACCTCCTTTGAACCGAAACGAGTAGAGTGCGCTTTTCTCACCCGCTTGTGATCTGGCATCAATGTTCCCAATGGCTCTGTCTTCAATATATGTACAAAGCAAATAGTTGTACGTCGGAAGCGGTCTCCTCACTGATGCACTTCATTTGTAAATCTTCAGACGGTTCCCCAAATTTCGTTTATTATTATGTCGATGTAAATTCTAACGTTACCTATTGATAAACTTGGAAAAAAGAATTGTAAAAGAAAAGAAAACATGCTAGTGTCAAGTGGTAAAACCACATGTCACATTCAGCGTTTCACATCACCAACGGGGTACAGTACAACCGTTTCTCTTTTTCTCTGTTGACCATAATTCTCGTCATCATTATGTCACTGGTAGTTTGTCCACTCAGTGTGGGGATTGTATGTATGTACTACGGTGGTAAATGTCAATCGAGGACTCTTCCCCGTATAACACGTTCAGGATTATCATAAGGGATATTGACATCATAAACAGGGAAAGCTGATTACGGAAACACTTCTTTACTGTTTTCCACGAAAATGACGATCGACATATTTTCAATGATTTTGCCTCGTCTAAACACGTGACAAAAATTCTAAACCTACAAGGCGAAGACTTTTCGCCCATAAACAACCATTCAGCGGACGAAGCAATTGCCGGGACTCGTGCGAAAGGATTGGCATTTGTAGACTCAAATTGATCAGTGAGCGGTGCAAGAACATAAATAAAAATAGACCGATTCAGCCACGGTAACAAGGCTTCTATATATATTCTTCGACTCTCTTTCATACATCTAATTATCGAATCAGAAATGTGCAATTAGTTTATCGAGTCTAACGCGAATCAAACCCTATCTCTATGCTCGTGCTGTCGTAGTCTATAAGTTACACGGATCTAATGAATACTCTGTAGCACTGGTAGCTACGTGTGACAATATCGATCTCGGTGTCGTTAGGTCTATATCCCCCCCCAGTCAGTCGGACAAATGCCTTTTTTATCTGTTGTGATTGGATCGGATTTGTTCACGCCAGTGACAAGAACAACCCAGTTACTTGAGATGTGAAAGGAGTCACGTGGTTAGAATCAAGGGTTAACCATTATCGGTGAAATGGCAACAGGAAGAGAATGTCCCACAATTGTAACGTATTCATATGTTTAACACAATTAAAATCAGTAATACAGAATGTGTATAGTCGTCATCCGTGAGCGCGTTGGACGAATTTCTTATCATGAGGTCCAGAAACGAACGAACAAGATAACATCAATCTCTTGCTTTTTAAAAGCTCATTCCGTGAGTGATGTTAAATTTATCTTTTTATCTACCACTTCTTATTCACCGAATGATCAAGTGTGCAACTAAGTTCGCTGTGAAACACTTTAGTTATGGCAAATTGGCCCCATTACCCTAAGCTGTCATATGATTGCGAGGTAGGATAGAAACAGAAACCCGGGCAAAGAGAATGCCACACAAAATAGATGTGACCATTGTACGAAATCAGTTCGATGTGCTCAAAATAAATGGATCACAGTTATGCAGGATTAGGGAACGGAGAGCGTTAATCTGAACGAAAAGGGAATGAATAAAATGGGTTTGACATAAGATGATATTCCACGTAAATTAAATGCAGGACACCGGAAGTGAAAAGCCGGAATGCGCTGCCTGTAATAGAATTCTATTGGATATCCACGACCCTGTGATAGCATCGAACTCGACATCTCCCAGGTATAACAAAAGTTCACAACACACCTGTTTGGCGGGAAACCAATCGTACTAATTTTGACCTCGGAGAGGCATGAGGATTTCATTCTACGAGTACTTCCTTCAGGCGATCAAAAAGTACAATAATTAACTTATCGCCAAGTAAACCCTTACCAATGGTTTTGCATCATGCACCTGTTCTTTGTTCACAGAGTTCATGCGTAGTCTGACGCCATAATTTGACAAATTGATTCCAATTTATTGCAGTTCACATGAATGTGTGACCACGACAGCCTGCATCAAGATTGCACCTTATCACGTAAACCATGCCGGATTGCACTGTTTGATCGGTTCAGGTAAATTATCATTTCAAATCGCCTGTGTAGCCCGACGCTCTGGAATGGTTGTAATTGAATGAACTGGATTTGTGGTTGTTCGTAGGCGATATTGGGTTGTTTAGTTGCATTGTTAGGAGGGACGGTTTTGCAAAGCGAAGCGTGATAAAGGTCGATGTTCACTCCTTTCGAAATGATTTATGCTAAGAGTGACAAAGTATGACGACTGAGGATATAAGTGATCCCACATTTACCATGAAACTGGATTGAGCAAACTCACATTACATCCGTAGCTGGACCCAGTTTAATGTTAATCACTCTTTTCGGATCTTTTCCAGATAAACCCCGACAAAAAATTAACCCCTGCCACCCAAAAAAGATTAAAAAGAGGATATGAAATTTGTACTTTTAGTTTTTATTGAAGAGGGTGAAATTGGGACATGTCATTAATAACTTGTATGAAAAGATCCGTTTTTCGGTACCTTTGCCTCCAAACGAACACAAGTAGCTGTCCACTAAGGATCAGTATGTGCCGCATTGGCGTTTATTCTGCATCTTTTAGACGTGCCAAAGAGATGTGATGGTTTGTGTGTGAGCTTCAGTCGTTGGATCCACAAAGTTTTCGGTATGATTAACCGTTTCATGAGTATAATTCATGTCCATCAAAGTGGCCACAGTTTGATCTGGCACTGCATACATGAACACCTCTTTAGTTTCCCAGCATATCCCTCCGAAAATCCACTGCTGGGGAAGGACTCATCCTGCGTGGCTTTTTACGGCGAGATATTAGCGTTTCATCGATCTCGACTTGTAGACCTGGGCCGCCGATAACTGTTGAAGTCTGCAAAAGCCGCCAGGGGCAAGCTTCCCGAAGAAAGTTCTTCCAGTCAACAGCGGTCGTGTGGCTAATGGATAATTCCTATGAGCAGAATTTGATTTTTGCCAAATTTTTGAACCAGCAATAAATGAATAGAATTACTGTCCTAAACTTCATCCTGGACCGCTCCAGCCAAGTTCCCTTTCGAAAACCGATTTCTTGCCGACACTATTGGGCATTACACCTCCACCTGTCAGACAAAGTTGAAAGTGTCACTTGTTGGCCATCGTTGCGTAAACGTTGCTGATGGATCGCTCCGTGGCTTTGCGAAAAACGTATTGCCGTCTCATTGTCATGAACGAGAGTTGAAAGCGTCAGAAAGTTCATTTACGTCCGAACGGAGAAAATTTTTGCACAAAATGAGCCCAGATGCGGATAAGGAATTGTTTTCATCAAAAATAGGTCAAGGTTTTGTGCAAAAAGTGGAGCGGCTTATCTGGAAAAGATCCCTCTTTTCTATCCTACCACAAACATTTAACCTACATTTAGTCTCTTCTCAGTGAGTGATTATCTTTTACCATCATATTTCATCTACTTATGAGTATGAATAAAGAAGCCAAAAACACAGGTTTGCACAATGTATCCTGGATCATTTCGCTGCATCTGTACACGTGCATATTGCAGTCTATATGATTATTAATATATATGGACAGTAAATAACAGAATCATAGGCGGAGAAAGATTGCGGTCAAAATTACCCACCAAACACATTTGTTACCAAGGTAGCGCCAGAGTGATATGCCACTCACGCTGTTTACACNTTATGAGTAACTTATTCAGCAAACTAACAATGCGCCCGAGCGTCGTCTTGTGTAATCATTCGAATTAATTTTTTACCTGAATGTTTCCGAAATATCTTCCAACATCTTCACATGTGATTTTCATTGTACAACAGAAGTATATTTCGCACTTAAGAGTCATGACATAGGGTGGGGTTTTGGCGTAACCAACCAACCAACGAAGAAAATCCTATTTGCAGAATTCGGCAGACATTCGGGACACATTCGACTACAGCATCAGGTTACAAGTTATTGGTCTGCTGTATGCGGATAATGCTTTGGATTTGCTTTATTCTCCTTGTGCGTTGCAATTTATGTATTTTCAATTCTTTATCTGAAGGTTTACTGCACAGAAGTTAGAGAGTACGGCCGCTTGCTTAAAAAAAAAACATTTATTTCCGAATCTGATTGGATTACGTGTGTAAAGATTTTTAACGATTCTAAATCATGCAATCAATGGGTTGGTCAAATTGATGAGGTAGTTTCGATTGATTATGAAAGATCAATTTCAACCAGTAGGTCTTCCAATGAACTGTATAGCGAGATTTATCAGCAGAGACCTTGTTTTGTTCACTGGAAATCGTAATGTGTGCATGAGGGAATAACAAGAGAATACAGTTTGAATTTAATGCGTGTTCGTCAGATCAAAAAGCGGATAGTAACTGAAGCACTGCCCCCCTAATACTTCAAGAGAATCCGGATGAAACACTTCCGGACTCCGATCTGGTAACAATAGGTCTGATCATTTCAATTCAGTCAGCAATGAAACAGTTATGCTCGGAACAACAAGAATTTATTGTGAATACAATTTCAGATTCATTACAAATTTCTGGACTGCAGACGGAATGGAATACACATTGACAAACTTGTGCGTCGAGTTCAAATTTTGTAAATCGGAAATGATTTTGACTCCCCTACAAACCAATCTGGAAGATCGAAATTCAGCTGCCATCAATACATTATTTGATTACACATTCGTTGAGTTTCCGTATTAATCTCTCGTCTGCTTTGCTTCAAAATCCTTTATTTTGAAACAGGCAAATCGGGCAGGTTGGTACAATCGGAGACCAAGTCAGCATACGTTTCATCAATTCGGCCGTCCGGTTCAGACCAAGGGCAGCAAATCCATCCCAAACTGCTTGGTCCACTCGAGGCCCTCGGATGGGATCTACGGAGAGTCGATGCCCGCATTGAGAAAATATCACAAAATTTTCGTCTTCGGAGTTCGATGACGAACTATGTGTGTTCACATTCGTTGGATCCAAGTGGATTGGTCTGAAACAGGTGGAGTTCAATTCGCTCCTATCCGTCGGCACGAGGGCGGCACGAAGGATACGAGCCAAGTCGAAAGAATTGGGCATCTTCACTAAGTCGCTGAATCGGAAGAAAACAGACACCAGGAAACGTAAACGAAGTGGACAGTTCGACTGACATGTACCGTGNGAGGTTGAACTTATTTTAAACGTAATGACAAACAAAACATTCAGCCAGTAAAAAATATTTTTTACATCATAAGTAAAAGTGATATGAAAAGAAGCGCCCTGCCACCGAAAAGTCTCTCCCTTTTAGTACATCATGCACATTAAATTGATTTTATGCACTAATCTAACGATATAATTGGAGCAGTTCGGTAATCCAGCTCCCAGTTCATCTGTGCTGATTGTAGAAAAATAAAGTCAAGCTATTACAAATTTCATCGCGACACTCAAGGTCGCGCAAGTTCAAGCGGTGATACAAGACAACTAAAGACATATCAGTGGGAGATAAAGCTCGAAATCACTGCTGTTCACCCATAGCTATCTATAAAATGGTATGATACTGGAAAAGTAAGTGTATTTCCAAATTGCGGGTCATGTTGCACAAGTTCGATCAATCCATGTATAACAGAAGTTCAATTGAAGACCTTGACCTGTTTTAATCGATTTAATTACGGCAACCTAAACCGTTCTAACTGATCTGATGAAATTCATCAATTCTCAAGATTTTGTGTTTACTGAAAGAGAAATTGTACTCATTAACAGCTGATTCGCCGTAGTTTATAATTCTTCTGGTTCGTTTGCATATCCAATGAACCAATTTGCAAATCAGCTAGGCGAGGGAAAGATATTTTATGACTTGGCGAAAGGAGGTACACTCGTGACTACATAATACGAAATCCTGGTTAACAAGTAGGCGATTGCGAGCTTGGAGAAGATGGAAACTTTAGTATATCTATAACTTTTACAATTCAAGGTGTCCGAGTATCATTTCAATTTGTCAATGTATCATTTCAAGATGTCTCGTTGACCTCATCGGTGCCGATAAGCTTCCCAGTAATGTCCGGATGACCACCCTGCAGCACAGATTTCTCTACCTCCCGTTGAAGCGCAGGGAACGACTGTGAAACGTACCTCGGTCACACACGCCTTAATTCCCATGACACATTGGTTGTTTATCTTGCAAGTACGCGTACGCGTCCATGCGTGTGTGTGTGTGTGTTCGTCCCCCCCCACTGATATCAGTGAATCATGCGCGATCGATATACGCATCAATGTTGACCAGATTCACATTCAGTTTGTTTGACATGTTCAGGTTATATTCCATCTTTGTGTGATACCACCGCGGAGCAATTTCACGTACTGAACAATCAAAATGACCATTTTGGCCATGTATCCGGAACGGAATGAGATATCTCTATCATACCAACAGAAATAATAATGAGGGCTGTCGAAATATGCCATAAATTTCATAACTAAATACAAGTTCAAAAACTGGAATGTTTTCAAAAATACATTTATGTGAGTAGAGACTCTGAATTTGATCATTTTTATTGTTAAAATCATATGGTCATCCTTAAACACTTTCACCAAACAAAGTAAACTGGGCACCAATGAAGTCAACGAGACAGCTTGAAATGATACTCGGGCAAGTTGAAATTATGCTCAGACGACATCTTAAAATGATATTCGGACAACTTGAATTGCAAAAGGTATAGAGCGTAGTAAAAACAAGGCTGGATTCGATGTCAGCGACAGAAGCTTTATGATAGTTATAAATCAAAACCCCTAATTCAACTGCCTGACTTGTGAGTTTCGTGAAGCAAACACACCGAGGTAGCATAACCAAAGTACCCCAGTAGGAGATTTGTGATTCCACTTACAATGATATGTCATTTATCGATCCGACTCTCTGGATCAGTTCCATTAGCCGAATGAGGTAATCGAAGCGTGGATTGGATAGAACCTTGTTACCCGGTAGCCAGTCTATTTAGGCCGGAGGTAGCTTCTAATTGAATATGAATATTGTTTAATCATAGTGGAAGAAGAACGCCTACAAAGTTTCCCACCAAGCTTTAACCAAAAGAATGGAGAAGGAATTTCCGGGCACATCGATCAGCAAGACTTTGCTTGGTCGATCGCTGGATGGAAACCACTGATTGGTTAAGAAGCTGATCATCCAGCCTGTGGAATGAAAATCGGAAACTGTAAGAGTAAAACGAACGGAATATACCGATTGGTTACAGAGATCGAGTAACGCCACACTGAGGCTGTATAGTAACGAGATCAACTACAGCGTGTGATGCTGTCGCAGCTATGAACGTTCCAAGGTGGGCTATGAAGCCATTCGAAGCCTCCCATACAGCAAAGTGCCCAACCTCAACACAACAGCGTGTTCATCTGTCGTCAGTATCTTGAAGTATAATTATCATACAAAGATTGTTTGGCATGTTTCCAATGGGTTTCTATCAAGCTGTTCCACGTTAACCTCTACCGAGCAATTAAGTATTCCAGCTGTTTTTATCTTTCAAAATGATTCCTTATATCGGAGGGCTTTCGATGCCAACCATCAAGTTCAATTTCTTCCACCATGCAGTCCCTTTTTTAGCCCGCTGAAAGAGGCCTTCCACAAATTCAATCAGAGTAGGCGTTTTGGACTCTTTAACTCGATTATTATTTAGCACATTAAAAACTGGTTTACTGAAAGAACTAAAGCCATACGAGATATGTCCATTGGTTTGACAACACGCGTGCATCGTTTAAATCTTCTCCAATCAATATGTCATGCAGCATTTTACATCATTACGACGGTCAACTGCGCAGCATGCAATCGCCACAACTCATTTCCCGACTAACCGTTGCAATATCAACTTTTGTAGAAAATAAAGCGTTTGAACTTCGTTGACCTCGGAATATCCTGATACTTTTTCATCTAACTAGCCTACAGTGGTATGTCTCAAATTTCTGAGTCGAGGTTAATGGACCACGAGTCGAAGCTAAAGGATTACGGGTTTTGGCGAAAGCTTAATGGGCAAAGGTGTAAGTAGTAATATTATTTGTGTCTAGTGATTGTTCAGATTGATAAATTGTTTATTGATGCTGTGTAATGTAATTTGGCGAACAAAGAGCTATCTGTTACCCCTCGGCTGTTCCCGTGAGGTTGAACTCAATCCAGACAATGATCGCTGACCTATGAGACAGTAGTAAACATTCGACTCATGTCAGCCCTCTTCAATTGAAATACGGCTTCGTGAGACACAAGTTAACATGCTGATTAAAGGCACATTCTACTGGTGATTCAAACCACTTTCAACATTTGTTTGCATCGAGTTCCCCAGTGAAAACGCTCCTTTTTCCCCACCTTTCTGTCAACACCCGACTCAATTGAACTCGATGAAAGTGACACCAACTTGATTAACAGCAGAGGTTGATTATAGCAACGTAGCTTTACGCATCACTTGGTCGAAATCTGTTCTCATATGGGAAGTAAAACGATGATCAGCGTGGTTGAAAAATCAAGCGCGGACTTACTCAGACAGTTGTTGGAGCAGGAATCGAGCATACAGCTGCGGATGTTTTGCAAATGTGGGCAAGACAAGCACTGGAGACAAATGCTGATCACGTAAGTAGTGAAGCATCTGGGCGAAAATAAATAAATAAATAAATAAACGTCACCAGTGCATTCTAAGTCAAGGCTAGTCAGGATATGTGTTGTATTCGATTCTGACAGTTCATGAGCGAACAAAGAAGCAGATAAACTCAAACTTATACGTCTCACAGACAGCTGATTCTTACTTTCCTACACAGACTTATACTAGGCAGTGAATACACACAAACACACGGTGACTTGACCTCGCGTACCGCAGCAGATCTGCCGTAATCGATTAAGGTATTATCATGTGCTAGCGTAGTCATTCTGACCGCTTACGTGCTCGACTACCTGTTCGTATACACACTGTACCGAATGTGTTTGCTTATACTTTCATACCAACAGTCTACCTACCGATTGAGGAGTAAAGTGATATCGATGACAGGCTTCTTTCTGATGTCAGACAAAGAGCACAGGATGGGTGTTTCAGCCTTGTTGGAACACAAGGACAGTGCATACTATTTTCCGGGCCTTGAAACTTGAAACGCGGACCTTCGAATGGGGAACCAAAATTCTCGCCCTGACCTATATAAGAACGAAGAGTGAACAAACTCACAAGAACTGAGACCCCGGTGTTTATGAATTAGTTTGAATTTAGGCAGGAACTTATTTAATTAGTGATGATACCGCTTAAATGAGTTACCCGAATGATTCGTAATTATCCATAAGAAAGCCATTGTAATGGTCGCGCTGTTTCTATCTCTTTCTCGTATGAATCGTAATCAAATTAGACTTTTCTGAAAGATATCTATCGGCAGACAATTACGGCCCGGTGCAGGTGACTGAAACATCCGCACTACAGACGGAAAAGGTGGTCACTTATATCGCTTGATCAGAACTGTCAGAAGATAACTATCAGAAGATGGACTCAAAATATCATTCGACAGAATAAACTACAATCTGAGGGCAGCGTTATTGACTACCCGATATTTCTATGCATGTATTTATATTGGCCGCTATGGCTTTAATGTCTAGCTTTTCGAAACGGATTCATTTACCTGTAGGTAAATTTATGAGTTACTCTAATAATACAAGCAGTCTAACCTGGTAAAGGTTTAAGGTTAGGGTACGCCGTGGCCCATGTTGGGCGGACCACTACTGAAAACCTGGATTCCTCTGCTACCACAAGAAAAAAGGTCTCTTAAAACTATAATCATCTGCTCAATAGCTCTGAAATATCTTCGAAAATCGATCAGTGAGTACTCTAACACACGTTAGAAACTTTCTGTCCTCTGGGTTATGATTCTATCACCAGATCATTCAGTTTGTTTGAGCGGTAGACCAGTGGAGAACCTGTGAGATAAAAATAAGTGACAGATAGATTGCTCTCAGTGACTGAATTTCACTACACACTTAATTCAGAAGTAAGAAAAGAGCGCTCGCAATACTGAACATATGATCGCATTGCGTGGTAGTTCACTTACCATATGGGCAACTATCAGAGCCTTTTTCGGTTCGTGTAGCGCAATTCGGCTAGAAAAACGCAGAAATATTTTTGAAACCAGTTCCAAGACTTACTCAGCGTAAATATCAAATATGTTTATGAACTTATCCGTTTCAATAAATCCACTGGACTCGTTCTTATTTGTTCGTATGTACGCCAAAAAATGGAAGAAAGCCTGCAATTAAACGTGAATGCAGTTTGACTACTTATGAAAAAAACAGTAGTTACACGCTTAAATTCGAAATTGGGACCCTTAGGGATCAGAATGAAAGGTTTAGGGTAAAAGAACCACTTTATGGTGGTTACACCGAACAAACAGATTTCTGAGTTAAAAATGAAAAAAGAGAAACACAATTGTGTAACAGAAAAGTTCCTCATATCCGTTAACCGTTGGTGCCAAGATAAACTGAGACAATCTTGAATTAAATGCCGAACAGAGGAAAATGTGGCTGGAAGAAACGACCAATAGGAATAGATGAATCTAGTCAACGGTTTGAGAAATGCCTTGTGGTAATGATAACCACCTCCAATTCGAATGTGTGAATTCACAGTTTACAAACTATGGTCTGCATGTGGTTAAACCAGAGGTGAGTGGAAACAGCGAGGTGGGGCACTAACATTATTTGCCCGCTGTGGGGACTAAAGTTATAGATGATGTAAATTTTATTTGTACGGAGGGAATATGCAATACGGTACCGTATCTTTGAGATGTCTCTGCCCACACAGCTTCACACTGTGGAGTACATTCGATGAGAATTAGTTCGCCCATAAGCCTGAACTTCACGTTCCAGTTAGAGTACTTAAACAATAAAGACAAATACAGTAGCAATGCCAACAGCAGCAACAGTAACAATCGATGAGACACACCATCAAACAACAAAAAAGCAGCAAAACAACGAGGTCATCAGAAAGGTCTTTTGTATTTTACTCAGGCACATTCTTATATAATGGAATGGAGGGGAGGAGGAGAAGGTTCGAATGATGTAGTTTCGTCTCGTATTCGATCCCTGAATTAAGATAAAGCGTATCCGGTAGCATTGCAAATCGGTGATTGTCAGTTTAGGTCCAGACACTGCTAAAACCAAACTACCGAGTTGAAAACACCAAAGAAGTATATATAAAGTGGAATAAAAAAAACCCAAGCACCAATCCAAATCACTTCGAACGAGATAAACTACTGTAAGTGAGTGAAATCTGAGCACTTACAGCACTGAACATCCGATTGGACAGGAATAACTCATTCAACAAGTGATGTGCTTTGAAGTGATCCAGCACATCAAGAAATGCGAAATTCGTGGGATCATACGAAATTTCCTGTGATAGGAGTGAAGTGGATGGTTCTGTTATTTTGGCGGATGCCACTTATCGCATCAACTGAGTTAGTGCATGTTCTGGGAGAAAATTACAAAGAAACCTGATTTTACCATAGTATAATTAATGCAATTCACATCGGTGGTTCAAATCTCGCAATTTTAAGAAGTTGTTCAGGTATGAAATGGTTTGTTCTTCAGTTCAACAACTTACCTTAAAATGAGGCATCAGACTTCGAATGAATTGTACACGGATGATTGATTTTGGTGAAACTGGTTTATCATGTTGTTTTTTCTTGATAAATAAAGGAAAAAATGAGCGAGTGAAATGTTTGGTAACGACTTACCGACGACAGTGATATTTTCGTCAGTATAAAAACTAGCAAACAGGGAGGCAGACGGAAGTTCATGGCTAGTGAAGCATGCACCTTTATTGAATGCGCATCATTTTATTGCATGTATGCATGTGTTTACGATTAGAATCTAATCAAGTTGGCAGTTCGGTTTGCGTAATTATTGTGCTTCCGAATAAAAGGAGTGAAAACAACACGTGTACCGTATATCATGGTATTAAACTAGCGAAAGCAAGGTTTATCAGTGACCATCCGATTTCACAAGGCTTCATTATCAAGGTCTTTAGTGTAATGTTGAAGAAAACACATGAATCCTTGGAACGAACGCAACCGAATCAATGACAGAAACTTAGTGCCTCTCAGTTACTGAAACTGAAATATCATCAATGATTAGAGTGCAATCCAGATATGGATATGTCCTTAGAAGTAATAGGATTAGAATGATGGAGGGTTATGCATCTATGAAGAGTTGGGCTCCAGCTTGCTCAGTATACGGTCTGATGATAGACTATTTCATCGAATGCGTTGCTATGAAGACTATATAAATACTGTGAAACACTTGATTTACCATGGAAAACTTCATGCTCTATTTTTTCCAAGATCGCATGCATTTGTATCAGAAGAGAGCTCAATATTTGATAGTGAATGACTAGCCGAAGGAAACCCATGCAATGATGATATTCAAACGGTAAACGTCACCAACTTATCATCTTAGAGGACGCGTGTTCAGGTCCCACTACCACCACCACCACCACCACCACCACCACCACCACCACCACCA